ATTGCATGTTCGATCAATCTCTGATTGTAAAAGTTGGTAAAAATCATCTCCCTTTTTCCTTGGCTCTGGTTGTTGGTGCACATATTTGAATGATAGTGGTATTCACTGGACTTCCTTGTATGCGTATAGATATTATCCTGTCACTGACAATATTTTACTTCAAGATTGTCTTCTTCTATAGTTAATTAAAAATAAAATAGTTCTGCCCTTAATATGAATATTTATTTCTGATTTAATGATACTAATGGGCATTAATGTTTTTCTGAGATTTTGCAAGGGATATATTAAAACAAAATGTATTTTAGTTGTTTTGTGTGTCCGTTAATCCTTGATACCTTTGCTTTCCAGACAAGTGATGATCTTTATTTTGATATATTAATATTAACCTGAATAAAACAGATGAACTCTCTTCTGATTGTATACTGTCCAGTGTTGAACATTGTCAAATTATTTTCTTTGTTTTAGGACTATCCTACATAAATATAAAATAATAGAAGACTCAGTACTTCACCACTCAAATAGTCTCTTAACACACTTAACAAAATTCTGCTACCTAGTTAGCATTTATTGTACTTATGGTTAACTTTTCAAAAATAAATACTTAGTAGTACTAAATCGTAAAGAGGATATATTGATTGACAGGTAATTAACTATTTAATATATAAAAAATGAACTGTAGTAGTCTTTTTTAACAGAAACCTTTTCAAATTTGAAATATTTGATTGTTAAAAGTCTTATGTTCATATATTGTTCTTTAAATAGTTAGTATATAAGTAACATTTCTCAGATCTGTTTTTACACGTATGCTTTTGCCTTCCAAATGGTAATTTTCTTTGCTGTCTCGGGGTAGGCCAGGGTTCAGAGATATTGTACAAAGGGCTGGTATGAATTGCAAGAGACTCACAGCACGTAATAACAACCACTTTCTGTTTAATTGAAGTATAAATTTAACAGTTTCTTTTACCTATAATTTTGGTAAAGTTTTTTGAAACTACTTCTCTCTCCTAAGTTTAAGATACTTATTTACTTCTAAAGCTGAAACAATTGTGGGTTTTCCCCATAATTATCTTATACCTTAAGTTAGTATCTCCTATCTTTGTAGAAATATTGAATGTAGGAAATATTGATGAAAGGAAAAGTATTGTAAAATTATAAGAAGCTCAAGACAAACTACTTGCCAGCCATTGTTTCCAACTCATAGTGACCCTCTGTTGGGTTTCTGAGGCTGTAAATATTTTTAGAATGAGACTGTCCTTCTTTCTAGTGTAGGACATACACAGGATTAAAACTGTTGACATTTTTATCAGCAGCTCAGTATGTTATGTACTACTTATAGCAGTTATCTAATGAATAGATAAATAGTCTAAAGGAGTATAAAAAGTTGTGAACATTTTAAAGGTGTAACATCATTCATATAAATTTGAATTTTTTTCATCATCAATATTTCCTAACTTCAATAAGTGCTTACTATTTTACCTCAAAATAAATGTCAACTAGTGAATACAACTATTCCTCTTTTAAAAGTTAATTTACCCAAAAGTAACTATTGCAGGTAAGTATGCTGTAAAATTCCATTGTTAGAAAAGTTATTGTAAAGAAATAACTTTTTTCCATTATTAATATAAAAATATTCCTTTTCCCATGTGGTAGGGCTCCCCAGGAGAACGTGGATCAGCAGGTACAGCTGGCCCAATTGGTCTGCCAGGGCGTCCAGGACCCCAGGGTCCTCCAGGTCCAGCTGGAGAGAAAGGTGCTCCGGTAAGTAATTTCAAGAAGGAACTATATTATACTATTCCCTTCCACAAGTTATTATTTTTCATTCAAGAATATTAGCTCTGCATACCCCACTGCACTCCTGCTGCAGATGTGCCTGGCATGTAAACATGTCTCTTTTCATATTTATAATAAAAAAAATCAAATTCAATTAGAGGAGAAGTCATTTTTTTCATATTTTATGAAATGCTAATATCTGTGAGGCTGCCGGATATTATCAATGTGAAAGGCTCCTGATTTTGTTCCTTTAAATATGCAATTGGAGTTTTTACCAAAACTGTAACTTGCTCCTTTATATTAGAAAAGTATGGACCCTTCACTCCTGTTCTAGTACAACTTCATTTGCAGTTATTTCCATAGTCTTGTAAAGGAAACCCAGAGAAGGTGCCTGCCCTCCTCCAGTAATTTGAGTTTTGATTTTGAGTGAGATGAGAAACATCTGAGCCTTATTTCATCTTACATTGATTGGGTTTTAAAAATTCATACTTAACTCACTACTAACTATGTTCTACTAATTGAATTTATCTTTCTTTCTCAAGACTTTCACCATATATTTGTTTACAGTTTTAATTTTATATTTTTTTAAAAACTCAACTTTCTCCAAAATTATTACATATATTAATTCAGCAAAATAATTAGCAATTGCTACCTGAAACAGACAAAAATATCTGTTCTAAATAATTATATATACATTTAAGTATTGCTATTTAAAATTAAATTTAAGTCTAGATTTAAAAAATATTTTTCATCACTAAAACTTGTTTCAATAAGTTGATTGCTTTCATTGTCTAGACATTATTTGTCTATAGTATTTTTCAAATAGTTCCAGATTTTTTTGTTGCTGTTCTAGAATTTTAAAACTTGTTCCCTAATGTCCTTGCCTGTTGGAAATCATTTAGAATATTTAAATAAGACCCTTTTGGAAACAGGAATGGCATCCACTTCCTAAACAGCATGCCTCTGAAAATTCTATGAACTTGGAAAAGCGACAATAGTTTTAGAAAGGCTTCAGGTATTTTGTTCATAGGGTCACTATGAGTCATGCTCGACTTGACAGCAATCAACAGAAAAGAACAACCTACCACGTGTGGATAGAATTTTGGGTGACATTAACAACAACTTTTATGCTGAGTTTTACAGCAATATATTTCTTAAGAAGTATACTTTTTGAAAATTTAGCATAGTTGGATTTTAGATGTTATTATTTGTAACTTTTATACTAAGCAATGGGAAAATGTCATCTTTCTCACAGTTTTCACAATTTATAAACTTACCTAGAAACTGAAAAAATGAAACAAAACAAACCCTAAAAATTTTGTAGTATAATGGTACTATAAATGCTTAGAAATGAAAGAACCCCTTTAAACAAATGTATTAAAACAATTCAGGCCACTGATTACCTGGTACCACACAAGGAAGTATGCCCCAGAGGAATGGGAGGAATAAGTATTGTTCTTATACAAACCGATAACACTGATACATATTGATACAACACTGAGAACATATTGAAAGATTAAAAGCGGATACCTTGAATTTATGAAGTAAAATGGAGAAGATAGAAGGCATTAAAGTGATTATGAATCTTTGTTGAGATACTATTGATGGAAGATTTCTTTTTTTAAAGATAGGCTTTGTGTCTGGGTTTTGTTGGTGATATATTATAGCAATGAAAAGGAAAAAGAAAAGTTTTGCTAATTAGGGAGTTCTGGTAGCCTGGTAGCAAAATGCTGCACTGCAATCCCAAAGGTACGTGGGTTGATGCCACCAGTAGCTCTGCAGGAGAAGGACGGGAAATCTTCAGTGTGATTATCTAACTGCCTCTGAAAACCCACCAGAAGGCCCGCTATGGATCAGTTCCGACTTTATGGTACACATCAACAACAATCCCCCATTTAGAATTATTTATCTGAGTCTATTCATTCAATTATTCTTTCATTAAATAATTTTTTTGTAACAAGTTAGTGCTAGATACAATAGTAAATATTTTTTTTCTTTTAGGAATGGTTGTACTTAAGGATAATGGATTAAAATAGGAGAAAAAGGTTGCATGAAAGTATTTGTCCTGGAATTTTCTAGAAAAACAGAATTAGGGTCAAGAAGGAATTGTTTTAATTGAAAAAATTCTCTTATGTGATTGTGAGAATAGCAAATCTAAAATCCATAGGTCAGATGATCATCTGATTTTGATTTTTAGATGACACTCTAAAATCCATAGCAACTGAAAAGGTACACAGAATGTAAAGAAAATTCTGTGAACATCTCTCTAGAGGTAGAACATATTCAAGGAAAATCTATTTTTTAAACTAACTGTTTGATTATATTAATTTACAATATGGAATGTTATTACATTCTGTTCCACTCTCCAATCCTTAGCAAACCCATTAGTGTGGAATAGATTGTACCAAACTCTTGATTATCAGCCCAGGATGTTACTCTCTATGTCACCAGGTCTCCTTTAATTCCCAAATGGCACTACCCACCACAAATACCTGTTGCACCTACATATGGTAGTAACTGTGGCCATTTCAGCAGTTTCATATTACACTGATTAAATTTTTTGTGAGTTGCTGTTGTTGTGTACCATCAAGCCATAACTGACCCACGGATGACCCTCCACTGGATTTTGGAGGCAGTTAATTATATGAGGAAAGATTCTCCATTTTTCTCCCATGGAGTGGTCAGTAGATTTGAACTATATACCTTTGGATTGGCAGCTCAGTTCATGAGAGCAGGCAAACATTACTAAAGAAAAAAGGAGCTCTTTCACTTTTCTTCCTAGCAGACATTCTTATGGGTGTGGTGTGGGGAGAATGACTTTTAAAGAAAAGTGTTAATTGTATTGAAAAGATATTTAATTACGTGATACATTTATGTTGGAGACAGTTGAAAAAATAGAAAGTACAAAGTGAAAAAAGTGTAATGCATAGTGAAAATAGTTTTCAGTATATAAGAAAAATAAATGGATTCAGTAAAAGGAACTGGTGTGTGAGAAAGGATAGACTCCAAATAAATCTTTATGGTTTCAAACATTTATTCAGAGATTTGAATTGTTGTTGTTGTGTGCTATTACGTTGAAACCCACTTATAGCTGACCCTTCAGTGGGTTTTCAGAGGGAGTAAGTGACATGGGAGGAGACTGCTCTTCCCACTGCTATGGAGCAGCTAGGGCATTTGAACCACATGCCTTTAGGATTACAGTGCAGCTTCTTTCCTCTAGGCCACCAGAGTTCCCTAGAAGTATAGAATAGCATTGGGACTGTAAATCTGAGTGTCATTTAGGTAAAAGTGCACTTGGATACCATTTATTGGACTTCTTTCTTCGTGCTGTAAAATGAAGGAAGATAACCAAGGTGTTGATCTACGTTGTAGGGTGAATGATAAGTGGATTATCTGGAAGAATCATGTTAGAGGAGAGAAAGAAAGAACAAAAATTGATGAGTGATAAAACATAGTTAGGAGTATCTTATCAAATAGACCAAGAATGAAAAGGATCTCCTTCATGGAATGTAACAGAAGAACACGAATTTTAGAAGATTAGGGAAAATATTATTTCAGAAGCTGAACATTTGGGAAAGAATTTGGATGGTAAGAAGTAGGCTTGATAAATGTCTATCACCACCGCAAAGCCATGGAGCTACAAGATTAGGGTAGCAAGTAGAAGTACTCTTAGAATAGACTACAATATTTCTTCTGAATAATATTGTACTCACCATTATTAGTTATTGAATTATGTATATACTGACTAATTTTACCAACAACAATAGGAAAAGAACCAGTGAATACTGTGGAATCTAAGAGATTCAGATTAGAGTGAAGTTGCTAACTTGTTGCTAGTCTGATGAAATGAAGGCCTTAACCACGGGGTGCTAGTGGTGAAGATAAAATTAATTTAGCATTACATGATTTCAACATCAAACAAATGAAAGTTAGTCATTGAATGGGGACTCAAATGGTCAAGTGATGAGGAGTTAATACAGGGCAAACACAAGGCCTAATGAATTGTAAATTTACAGATACCATAGGGAGAAAAATGAAATACTGAATGCGATCAAGACTACCATCTTGTAAAAAGTTAAGAAATTTTGTCTATAGAAAATGTAGGGAGTTTTGTTGGGTTGGTTTTTTATGGTCGTTTACAACTTCTTTTTATTTTATTTTTTCTCTTAGAAACACTGAATAATTTCCTTCATCAAAATGGATATCAATATATTAGTGTAACTTCTTTTAAAGATCAAAAATAGCTAATTCACAGACTTCTTACAAGAAATGATAATCTGAATTTTTCAATACAGGGAGAAAAAGGTCCTCAAGGCCCTGCAGGAAGAGATGGTGTGCAGGGTCCGGTGGGCCTCCCTGGTCCTGCTGGTCCCGCCGGCTCTCCTGGAGAGGATGGAGATAAGGTTTGGGTTTTTTAGTTTATGTTAGTACCTAGAGGGGAAAATTCTTTCTCCTTTAAGAAACCTGATTTAGATCTTTCTTTTTATTAAATGCCAGATCAGAGTATGTATTTTTCATGTCTCTTACATCTTCTATGTGTTCAGCCCTTTTATTTTAACAGTGAAAATTAGTATCTCTTACATAAAAGAGATTGTGATATATTTACTGAGAAATGGAATAAAAAATAATAAAATATTTTCTTTTTATTACTTATTTTTTAAATATATTGTTCCTGAAGTAAACATAAAATAAGAAAATTATCGCTTCCATATATTTAGCCTTTAACATCTTAGATGTTGCATAGTAAGATTCAAGAATGAGCTGAATACTTATTTCTTAACCATAATCTTCTCTGTTATTGGTATATAAGGGTCTTTCTAATATGTAGTTCTATTTTCCAATTCTTGTCTTCACTATATTTTAAAATATTATTGTAAAGTAATATATGCTATTTTGTGGACTAGTACTCTAATTATGTGCTTTATTTTAGCGTTTGAAAACTAGGATGAAGTCACAAACCAATTGTTGATTAATATGTAATTAAATTTGTTAATAAATCAATGTATTTTTATTATGTTCAGTTTATAGTGGTGATATTAGAGCCAAAACTGGCTTTCTTTATACCTCAGTTGCGATTGCTGTTCTTCAAAGACTGTTGGCTTGGAATTCTTTATAATTTTCAATACTAAAAAAAACAACAAACAAAAAACAAACCTGCAGCAAAGGGACTTTGAACATTACATAATAATATTTTTTATAACACACTAGCAAATAAGTGCATTAGCAAGCTACTTTGATGATACAGATGGAAATTCAATGACAAATACATTGGAGATAAATTTTGACACAAGTCTTTCAATTGCAGGGTGAAATTGGTGAACCAGGCCAAAAAGGCAGTAAGGGTGACAAAGGAGAAAATGTAAGTTTGCTAATTGACGAAGCATGCTTCATTTAATGTTTTATTATTTTTACATAATAATATTTACACACACATTCAAATGTTAAAATATCAACATGATTTTGATGACTATATAATCACAAATGGATATTGTTTACTTTTCAAACTCCCTGAAAGACACTTCCTTTGAATTAGCAGCCCAACTTTCCTATGGCCTGTGCTACCAGGCTTTCATTATTTATTATGCTTTCTTTTATAATTCTGTGAGTTTTGTATTTCTGAAATTGAATAATTTTAAAGAGTGTAGTTAGTGTGTTATTTGTATGTTATTTGTAATTCTTATGTTTTAACTCTTCTGTGGCTCAAAAGCAATAGGTAAGTATAACAAATGAAAGAAATTCTAGTGGCACAGTAGCTAAACATGGCTTAATAACCAGACAGTCAGTGATTAGAACCCACGGTCAGTGATTAGAACCCACAGCTGATCCATGGGAAATACCTGTGACAGTGTGTGCCTTGAGAGCAGAAAATAGGACATGGAGGGCACAGGGCCACGAGTGCCTCTCTGAAAGGGCCAGAATAACACAACCCCTCATATCCCAGAACAGAAAGTGCCCATAGTGCAACCCTATGGTGCTACTAGAGCCATACCAGCAGCAACACATTTGTTTATTCATTGTTTACTCACAGACTTTACTCACAGTTGTGATACTGAGAATGGGGTTTATTAGGGAAATCAGTTGGAGAGTGCTGAAGGCAAACAATATCACCCAATGCAAATTCAGGTTAATTCCAGCAGCCTCAGCCCAGATTAACAGCAAAATACAATCTCTTAATTAGTAAAAATCCTGGTTTCAGTTCAGCAACACAAATTCAAGAAACCTCTAGTTTCCTCAATTACCTAGCAAGGTTTGCCTCAGAGCAGTTGTAAGTCAGTTTCTCCTTCAGTCATCCAGCAAGAACAGCAAACACTTTTAACTGTAGCCTTTGTCTCAGGTCTGCTCTGGTTATACCTTGGCACAGTTTCTCCACAGCAATCTCTCTCAATCACCATCACCAGGTTCTTGCTCTAGTCTCTCTCAAGTCTTACTGAGGGAAGCACTCTCTCTCTTATCCTAGTCCTATAGCTGTGATGATTTGCAAGACCGTGTATCTGCAGTTAGGGTAGCTGCAGACCAGAGAGGGCTAAGGTAATGGCTAAAAAGCCAACTTTAGGCTAATACTGCAGTCTGCTTTTGGAAAGAAGCTTTGTAAACCCTATGAGGTAGTTCTACTCTCTCTTTCGGGGTAGCTGTGAGTCAGAATTTATTCATCAGTTATTTTTGATGACATTAAAATAAGTTGCTTACCAAAACAGTCTAATTTTCCATAAGAATATACTACAAAGTATATGTGTTATTGTGATATCAAGTTGGAAGCAACTCAGAGCTGTACCACTAGCGAGTTTTCAGAAACTATAAAATGGCCTAAGAGGAGATTCCTTATCTTTCTTCTTTTAAACATTTTTATTTTTGTTATTTTTCTGTCATAAAGCAGTTGTTAGATTTGAACAATATGCTTTGGGGTTGGGAGCACAACTTCTTATCACTAGGATTCCAGAACTCCCTATGCATATATACATACAACACATTAGCAAGTATTATTTAAATACAAGTTATTAAGTCACTCATATTTTAAATTTTTATCTTTAAATTTTGGTGTTTTCTTTTTATCTTGAGTCATAATAAAATTATCACAATGCTCTCAATTTTTCATTCAAAATAAATGTCTTTCATTTTTTCTTTCTGTTTTACCAGTTTACACATTTTGTAGTACATAAATATATTTTGAAACATTTCTTTTTCTTATATTTAAAACCTTAAATATTGATACTGTCAATTATTTCACCTCAATACTTACCTGCTAATTTATACTATTTGTAGAAAATGTACAGATCTTGAAGATCCCATGTATGTATAAGGAGCAGATGCAACAGTGAGAAGGCTGATTCTGACTTCTAACAGTTTCATAAAAGCACACTGTCCACATCAATAAAATCCATAATATTAAACAAATAGCTGCTTGGTCAGACTTGTCACCCCACATGCTCCTTCACCAATAATTAGGTTTAATCCCTGTTGCAAATTGACTCACAAACTTTGGGTTTTATTAGGAAAATAGTTTGGGAATTGGAGGAGGCAAATTATAGCACACAGTGAAGGTCTAGGTTTATTCTAGCAGTCCCAAGCCTGATTAACAAGCCACAATTCCTCAATGAGTGAAATTCCAGTTTCAGCACAAATGCAAGCAGCCTCTTGTTGCCTCAAATATCTAGTAAAATTTATTTCAGAACAGCAACACGTGGGCTTTTCCTTCAATCATCCAGTATGCAAAAACCTTTAACTGTGTCTCCATCTCCAGAGTTCCTATGGTTATACCTTGCCACAATCTTTCATAGCAGTGCCACAATCTCTTTATTGCATGCCCTCTTTCTACTGCCATTTTTTATAGTGTGGAGAGAGCTTTGTTATATTCGTCCCAAAGCTATTTATGATTTGCAAGACCATGTGTCTGCATTGAAGGTAGCTGGTGACCATGCCCCCAAAGAGACCTAATCCAATGGTGAAGAAAGCCAATACTAAAGGCTTCTGACACCCCGATGTCCTTTCTTTCTATGTATAAATTTGCTTTCTAATAGGAATATACATCAGAGAGTACAGGAAAAAAAGTCCACCATTCCTCCTTCTGTCTCTCTATTTTCCCCTTCTTTTCTCTTATAACAGCAAAAATGTTATACAAGATTCCTATAAATTTTATTAGAATAGATTATTTTAAAAGGACCAACAAAAGCAATATGGATAAATTCAAATTCAATCTTTACTAACTCCTCAAAGGGAAAATGTCCCCATCAACAACATTCACAGTAAAACAGTAAAAACAAATAGCTACAAGGTCAGACATGGCCTTGGCCTTTGGTTCCTGCACCAAATTCTACTAATTTCTGGCTTCAAATTTTGTTGCAAATTGATTCACAGCTAACTTACTCATAGTGGTGGAGTTTATTAACGAAGTAGGTTGGGAATGTGAAAAGGAAAGGCTATTTCACAGTGAAAGTATAGGCTTTGTCCAGAAGTCCTAAATCATATTATTAACAAGACAACATATTGTTGTTGTTGTTATGTGCCGTCGAGTCGTTTTCGACTCAAAGCGACCCTATGTACAACAGCCCTAAACCGTGCTCTATCCTGTGCCAATCTCATTGCCTCTGACACACCTGTCCTGATTACCCCAGTCACTGAATCAATCCACCTCATAGAGGGTCTTCCCCTCCTGCGCTGTCCCTCTACTCTACCCAGCATGATGTCCCTCTCTAAAGACCTGTCTCTCCTTACAGCATGTCCAAAGTATGTCAGGCGAAGCCCCAGAATCCTTGCCTTCAAGGAGCAGCCTGGTTTAACCCTCTCTACGATGAATCTGTTTGTTTTCTTGGCAGTCCATGGTACATTCAATACTCTTCTTCAGCACCACAGCTCAAAGGCGTCAATTCTCCTTCTATCCTCCCTAGTCCTTGTCCAACTCTCTGATGCATAACAAGTGATTGCAAAAACCATGGCCTGTATCAGGCGCCCCTTAGTCTCCAGAGAGACACCGTTGCTCCTGAGTACTTTAGAGAGGTCCCTAACAGCAGACTTTCACATCATAGTACATTTTTTGATTTCCATAGTTTCCAAATTAATTCAGACAGCTTCTCAGGCAATGAATGAAAGTCCAAGTTCAGTGCATCAATTCAAATACAAGATACTTCTGGTTTTCTCAGTCATCCAGCAAGTTTGGTGTCATAGCTGTCACAAGTCAGTTCTTCCTTCAGTCATCCAGCAAGCAGAACTTTAACCCTGGTTCTGTATCCAGGGCTCCATTAGACTATACCTCACTATAGTCTCTCCAGTCTCACCCATTTTTCCTCTTATGTTGACGTCACAGCTGTTGATGATGTTGAAGATTCTGATTAACAGGTAAAACCATGTCCCCAAAGGTAGCTAAGGCAATGGATCTAAAAATCATTTTAAAAAGTCCAAACACTCCACTCTCCTAGCTCTGTCCAAAATTTAGCTATTATTGTCAAGCCTTTCATGTTGGGTTTATTTGCTATATTAGTATTACTTTAGAATGAGTCTTATTAGAACTAAGTGCATTTATAATCTCTATGATCCCCTCTACTAAAATTGAAAGCAGAGTAGTTACTAAGAGGCAGAGGTTAACAATGTTCCAAATGTTTGATTTACTGTATTTTTCCATCATTTCTAACATCTACAGTTCTTCCTCTATTTACTCTGTCAGTTTTCCCATTCCTCTGTGCCCCTTGGGTCAGTTTTTTGCTGAAAGATCTCACAGAAATTCAAACTCATCAGAGAGCCATTCACACAACTTGTGGGTCATGCAGGCCAGTGTTTCAGAGACTGGTGACCCATGTGCCAGGATCCTGCAGACTGTCCATTGTGGCACATCTTCCATAGCTTTTACAGACCTCTAGAAGGGTAAAGGCTTGTATCCCACCCTAACACTATCTCCTTAATACAATAAATACTTTATCACAAAATAAAAACTTAATCAATGGCTATTGTTGTTGTTGATAATGGTTGTTGATTGTCCTCAAGTCAAGCATGACTCATAGCAACCCTATGAACAAAAGGTCTGAAGCCTTTCTAGAACTATCATCATTTATAAAAGTTCATTGAGTTTCCAGAGGCATGTTGTTTAGGAAGTGGATGCCACTCCTGCTAGGAAAGCCATTTTTCACAATTAACCCTTGACAGCACACTGAGTTCTCAACTGAATAGCTACTAATGTTTTGTGAGCTGCAAATGTCGAACTGAAACTAGAAATACAGAATAAAAATATTGAATTCAAAGTGTACTCAAGGAAAAGCCCCTGTTTTCTTTTTGTTTTCATCCAGGAAAACAAATAAGTTGCAAATAGTGACCACATTAGTGCTCTCTAGCTGTGTTTGAAGATTATAGTTGCAGTTGTATTAAAAGAGCAAATGTTGTGTGGGGACACCCAAGTCCGACTTCTAATTAACTCCACAAAGGATACCTATACTAAGAATAATATTTACAGAACAAAACTAATTCCCATAGGGTTGGACGTGGTCCTCCATGCTCCTGGATTTTTATTTTTTGTCACTTCGAACACTAATCTTAAATGCTCTACTGGGCCCATAATCCATTGCAATAGCTACATAGACTATACAGAACTGTACTCACAATTAAGAGCATTAATAGGGAAGTTAACAGGCTATAATCCAGGTTAGCTTCAAGATACAACTCCTAGTCCTCACATCTTCTGAAGCGTGGTCACTGGCATTTTTATTTTCAGCTTCAAAATTTAGGTTAGTGTTACAAAGGTTCTTTATTCTTACCAGTTATGCCATCTTCCCTCGATCCTCCAGAAAGCTTGAGTTAAAGACTTTTGCTTCTGTTTCCATGAGGCAAGCAGTCCCAAGTCAGCTCCTAAGGGTCCTCCCACAGTAGCCAGCTGACTTGAGTTGAAGAACTCTGTCTTTAGTTCTGTGAAGTAGCAGTCCTAAGTCAACTCTTCTTTCAGTTGTTGAACAAATAAAACCTTTAACTTTGTCCCCATCTCAAAGGCTCCAGCTCTCAGGAGTTCTGACCCTCTCTCCATCTCAGGGCTCTGGCCCTGACAGTCAGCAGCAAGACACAATCTCTCAGTTAATCTAGGCATGTTTTCAGCGGGAAGAAGAGAGAGAGACGCAGAGAGACAGAGGGAGAGAGATAGAGGGAGGGAGGGAGGAAGAGAGAGGAGAGAGTAGAGGGGAGGGGAGGAGGGAAAAAAGGAAAGGAAGAATGTCTGGCCCCAAAGGATGCATGCTACTTTCTCTGCTGCTACTTCTTTCCTTGTTTGAAGATTCCCCAAATTCTGCTGCTGAATCTGCTAAGTTTAGCGTCAATACTAGCAAATCCCCTGGTAGATAGGCTAACACACTCTATGAGAAAGAAATGGCTCACACAGATGTTGATGATACAGGTGGCCACCTGCATTCAGTGCAGCTACATTAGATGAATGTGCTTGTAAACCAGAGTTGAGACAACTAGCTAAACAATCATCAAGGAAAGTAATTTTAAGCTATGGAAAGCCACAGCAACAGACTCACTACACCCAAAGTTGGTATTGCTATACATTTTAATTTTAATTTAAAATTCTATTGTAGTGATTTATTATTCAAGATTTCATTCAATATTTTTGAAGATGATTACATGTTATTTATCTACTTACAAAATATTTGATGTGCTCTGCAGAGACATATTTTAATAAATGATATTTCTGAATTAAAAAGTATAATTAAAAATGACTGCATGCCTAGTCGTTTACTGCAATGTTTTATTTGCCTCAGAACTCTATAAACACCTAGAATTTAGTAAGCACTCCAAAAATCCTGTCTGTGAGTTACTCAAATTTAAAATAAAGGTATTTTAAATATTTTTAATAGATTCAATTAAAATTAACCAATATGCCCTAACATTGTCAATGGAACAAAAGAATACACACACACACACACACACACACACACACACAATATATATATACCTCAAATAAAAATGTCAAGAGAAGTGTGCCATTATTTTTTGCTTTTTATGTCCAATTTAGCATAAGAAGTTAAATTCTCATATTTGCTTCTGAATTTTGTTTTGGTTGAAATTCAAAGTTCCCTTGTACTTATTTTTTTTTCTGTGTGAATCAAGTGACAGTTTATGATTGTATGGAGTATAGCCAATAATATTGCAGTTTTGTATTATCACTGTGATCTGTGCTAGGGTACCAGCAATTTAAATAAAACTACTTTTGCCTCATCTGTGCAAATATTTACATAGTAAAAAAACCAAATGTGTTATTTATCTTTAAAAAGAATGTTTTTACCTAGAGGGAACCTTAAGAGTTTTCTCATATGATTCCAGTGTACATGGTGCAAATTTTGCTTCAAGCCCTTTTTCTGATATGTTGTACTGACAAAGTTCTATACAGTCCTTTGATTTAATTATTATTCAAAGCCCAGATAGTGCAAAATCCCTAACCAGTTATTGTTGTCAAAATTGTATTCAATTAAGAGGAAAACTTTAACTATATAAAAAGCATACTACTTATTGAAAATTTATTATTTAAAATAAATAATATGATATAGAAGACTGAGTTTACACGAGTAGGCAACAAGAAAGATCTTTGTTCTTGTACTGTATATTTATTAATATAGAATCCCCAGCAGTGTCATCCTCATTTTGAGGCTAGTGTTTAAATTAGTATTTAAGGGGTTCTTTCTCCTTTCACACAGAATGAAAGAAATCTGATGTGTTTTTAATTTGAATGTCACTCTTCAACTTTATCTATGGTAGCATATAAACTAATTTTAAAATATCCATAACATAGCAGATGTGAGAGTGTTTTTAATAAATGTCAATTTAAAATGATTGAAAATTTGCAAGTATGAGTCTTCAAGGAACAAAATAAATGGTGACTGCACTAAATATGAAAAGACTTCTGAGTAATCATCTTTTTTCTGTCAAGGCATGTTTAAAATATATTTATTAGATAACTACTTTGCCTTAAATAATTGATGTTATCTTGTGGCTTCATTTTACAATTGAGCTTTTTTTCTTTCCACAGGGTCCTCCTGGCCCCCCAGGTCTTCAAGGACCTGTTGGTGCCCCAGGAATTGCTGTAAGTATTACATTTTAACAGAAAATCTAAATCCTTTCAACTTCCTTATTATATTTATGGATTGTACGTAGATCAAATATTTTATTTCCTCACTTTCTATTATTAATGTAAAATCAAATTTAAATTATTTAACATATGAAGCTGAATTTTGTCAAGAAAAATATTATTTATTTGAAAATAGGTAGCCAGTTGAGAACTATTTTATGTACTATGTAGTATTTATAGAATCTGAATATGATTTTCTCCTTAGACAGTTTTTATTTCAGTTGGTATAAGTGATAAAATAAAAATCAACTTCGAAACCAAAGAGTATAAGCAGAACAAATGTCCATGGGGAGTGAATAATCAATCATTGTCTATTTTTATATTGTTTAATGAATAATTTTATTAGAAGTGACTACATCATCATAATAGGTTTTGTCATACATGATTTTTTGGTTCGTGATGGTGTTTGTTGCTCTTCTCTAGGGAGGTGATGGTGAGCCTGGCCCTAGAGGACAGCAGGGTATGTTCGGACAAAAAGGTGATGAAGGTCCAAGAGGATTCCCTGGGCCTCCTGGCCCCATAGGTCTTCAGGTAAGGTGCTTTCTTCATCCTTTTCTTTATCAGCAGAGTGATTATTTGGTGTAGGTAAGAGAAAGCATCATTTTTTTTTATTATATAGAAATTTATATATTATTTTTACATGATAAATGATTTACTTAAGTATAACACTGAACTTTAGAGAACATCTACTTTATGTAAATCTGTATACCTAAGAATTTTTAGCATTTATTACTTTTATAACGATATTTTAAACCTAGATCCCATTCCTGAAATAGAATTAGCTTTAACACATATATTGCACTTTCTTTTATGGTCTTTCAATATGATGAATGAAGTGCAAACAAACTTAAGTCAGAACCTTAGAAATAAGTAAGATGAAAACGGTTATAAAGCTTGTAACAGGAGACCATTTTAGGTAGCTATCATAGATTTAAATATTTAAAAAATAAAAGACAAAACCAAAGAACTACTAACCACAATTGAAAGCAACAACTGTTTAAAGCAAGTATTAAACAAAATTAGCCAAATAAGCAGTAAGTCTGTAAATGGAAAATAGCTATTGTTAAAAAAATCACAAAGAAATTTTAGAAAATTCAGATTTCCTCCTTTGTCTGTCTCAACAACAAATTGCCAAAACTGAGGCCATTTGAATTTTGTCTTATAATTTTATTTATTAAAATAAATATTCTTTACATTCTGCTGATTACTTACAGACTCAAATTTAACTTGATTGCAATATTATTACAGAAATTATTCCATTAATTAAACGGCTACATATATTATTTAATATATTAATTTTTTTCACTTTCAGATACATGATTAGAAAAAATCATATATGATTTTGAGAAAGGGTAAATTTTTTTAACAAAAATTTTACAAAGTATCATTGAATTGCTTAAGACCAATATTTTCAGGCATAATTAATTTTCCATTTTCAGTAAAAGAGATGGACTTAAATATGTTTTATTATAAAAGTCATTACAATAATATAATAAATATAACAGAATATAATATAATATATTTATAATAAATATAATATAATAATATAATAAAGGTGATTTTATGGAAAAAGTCATTTTGGAAATAAAATTGTTGCTTTTTTTTAAAAATTGTTGCTTTTTATGTATTTAATGTAAGTGCATTCATAATATCTAAGTCGCCTATTTTCTGAAAAGTGAGTTTTCCTAAAATTTAAAGTTTATTTTACTTTGCTGGAATTTAATTTCTATTTAATAACTAGCATCCTTTTTAGGAAGCATATTTAATAATGGAAATGATAGAATGGAAAATATTATACACTAAAATATTTTTATTTGATTGAGTCAGGTAACTAGTGTCTTAGGTAAAACATTTTTTTATGAGTCATCACCCTATCCGAGAATTTTTACTTTCACATCATTATATTCACTGCCTCTTACATACTTTAGGAAATGTAGGTTTTTTTTCTTTTGGTTATTTATTTTATACCTACCTAGTAGGGAACTTACTGAAACTGAGGAGGACCAAAAGCCCTTGCTACAGAGGGTCAAGGACTGCAGCCTCCAATATGGATCGAGGCTCAATGTCAAGAAGACAAAGATTCTCACACTGGGCCAATTGGCAGCATCAGGATGGATGGTGAAGAAATTGAGATTGTTCACAGCTTTAGTTTGCTTGGCTCCATAGTCAACAGTCTTGGCACCAGTAGCCAGGAAATTAAAAGGTGCATTGCCATGGGAAAGTCTGCTGTTAGGGACTCTCTCCAAAGTACTGAAGAGCAATGGTGTCTCTCTGGAGACTAAAGTGTGTCTGATAGAGGCCACGGTCTTTGCAATCACTTGTTAAGCATCAGAGAGTTAGACAATGACCAAGGAGGATAGAAGGAGAATTGATGCCTTTGAGCTGTGGTCCTGGAGAAGAGTATTGAGGATACCATGGACTGCTGGGAAAACAAACAGATTCATCCTGGAAAGTGTTAAACCGAGTGGCTCCTTGGAGGCAAAGATTCTGAGGCTCTGTCTAACATATTTTGGACATGTTGTAAGGAGGGACTGGTCCTTGGAGAAGGACATCATGCTTGGGAGGGTGGAGGGACTGTGCAGGAGGGGAAGGCCCTCTATGAGCTGGATTGATTCAGTGACTGGGATAATCAGGATGGGTGTATTGGAGACGGTGGGATTGGCACAGGACAGAGCAGAGTTTAGGGCTGTTGTACATAGGGTCGCTATGAGTCGCAAGAGACTCTATGGCACATAACAACAACAACAACAACAGTAGGGAGCTCTGGTGGCCTAGTGGCAAGATGTTGTGCTACAATCCCAAAGGCACACACTTTGAGACTTAGCTGCTCCATAGGAGAAGGATGAACAGTCTCCTCACATGAGATTAACTACCTCTGAAACCCTGCCAGAGTGTCAGTTATGGTTCAGTTCAGATTCCATGTTGTACAACAACAATAATAGTCCATTATAGTTATAAAATAAATGATAAAGAAAACACACAGTTTTGTTGCTACATCTCAATATCAAGAAAACCAAAATCTTTACCATCGGACCAATAGGTAACACATAATAGATGAGAAAAAGATTATAACTGTCAACATTATAAAAAATAATTAATATATTCTTAATAAAATAAATAGAATCTATAATATAAGTGCTAATAAGCAATGATGTCAGTTTAAAGACTAAGGTAAGCCTGATACAAGTAATTTTGTTTTCACTTGCTTCCTTTGCATCTCAAAGTTGGACCATGAATATGGGATATTGAGAAAGAATCAATGCCTTTAAATTGTGGTATAGAATAAGACTACTGAATATACTAAGGCTGGCCAAAGAACAAATCTGCAGCAAAGAATAAAATGCAAATTGAGTGCTCCTTAGAAGCAAAGATAGTGAATGAAACTTTACTCATATGTGTTGGGCATATTCTCAGGTAGAACAAGACCTTATAATAGATTGGATAAAATACCTACAATAATGGACATGGTATGTTGGAGACTGTGATGATGGTCCAGTATACAACAAGCTTCTAATCTTTTGCTCACAAGGTTTCTATGAGTTGTGTTTGATTTGATGACATTTAACAACAGTAGTCCTTTAAAAAGTGTAAAATTGAATTTTAAAAATTTGCCTTATGAACAAAAAAATCAAGTGTAGGTACACAGTGTCCCTCTGAAAGAGTGTCCCTCTTAAAGAGCCAGAGAGAGTAAAATAGCACAGTCCTCTACCTCCCTAAAACAGAAAGCAGATTAAGAACACTTAGCCTAGCCCCATGGTCATTCTAGAGCCAAACCAGCAGAAAGAAGTCCATTTATTCATTATTGACACACAGACTATGGTGTTCAGAGCAAGGTTTATTAGAAAAATAAGTGAAATAGTGGGGGAAAGAAAGAATAACACCCAATATAAATCCAGTTTTAGTCCAGGAAGTGTGGAGGGACAGCACAGGAGAGGAAGACCCCAGATGAGATGGATTGATACAGTGACTGGAGCGATGGAGATTGAGGTGTAAGAACTAGTGAGACTTATTCAGGGCAGGGCAGTGTCAAGAACTGTTGTACATATAGGGTCACTATGGGTCACAGGTGACTCGACAGCGTGTAACAACATGTCAGAGACAATGAAGTTTGCTCAAGATGGATCAGAGTTCAGAGCTATTGTACATAGAGTCTCTAAGAGTCGAAAATGACTCAATGGCACATTACAACAAGCAACAAAAATGCTGTGAAATCATAAAAATATAAACTATATTTATATACCTTTAACATTTACCTTCATTTTCAAATGTAAAATTAAAATTATTTTATTTTCATATAAATTCATTGTATATATTAAAAGTAAAATACCAAACCAACTCTTCTTGATTCTGTTCTGATTCATGGAGACCCTTCATTTAGTTATAAATCTTTAAAATTTTTCTACTGCAGGTGAGTTTGACTTAACATTTTGCTTAGCAGTTTATCACATAACACATTATGCCACCTTGTCTTCCACTGTATTTTGTGATTATTACTATTATTAATATAAGGGTACTGTATTGGCCTAGTGAATAAAGAATGGCAGTGTCTACGCAAAGGCAGGCTATTTGGATTGACCACAAGCTCCACATGAAAAGCATGAGCCTTCTTTCTTCTCCTTTGAAATATATATAGCCTCTAAAAACTCACTAAAGAGTTAACTATGAGCTGATTCTGACTTTATGGTTAAAAACCCCCCAGGATTCTTAAAATACACAGTAGATGTCTACTATTGAACATAGTGTTCCAAAATTTTACTTTTATATTAATATAAAATTTAAACTTGGAAAGATTCTCATTAATATGTTTTATGTTTAAACAAATACTGGTTACACTATAATAAGTAGTAGTAAGTGAGCAGTCGTGAACACTGAGCAGGAGGACATGTGAGAAGTGTGTGTGTGCATATATATATATCTCACAAAAAGACATTTAGAATCTAAACTGTCAATTTATCAATGGATTTGTTATCTTTCAATTTTTTAAAAAAAATGTACTCTATTTCTCTGAATCCTGTAACTTGTAGTAATTTAGAATGTTATCATGATTCAAGAAGGTACCTTGTAATTTATATTTATAAAATACTCGATAAGAAATTGTCTTTATTTCCACAAAGTAAGAAATGTGTTCTTTGATGAGGGTGACTCAAGAAATCTGTTGACTAAAAACAAAATTGATTATATTTTCCTGCAGCTACCTCTTTAAATTAAGAATCTGAAAAGATGCTAATGTAATTAACATGCTCACAATTGCATTAGCATCCTTTAATTGAGTCTTCACGGCACAATAGATGCTCTATTGTAATAGACTTAAATAATAATAATCTATTATTCAGATTAAATTGCATGATTTTTTAAATTAATATTTACTATTCACATATGATGGAGCGCTATGTAAAGATAATTCTGGATCTGCTTAGATTTTTTTATGCATCATTTAAGTAGCAAATGATTTTAAATTGACAGACCCTAAAACAGAATCTCTCTGCGCATAAATTACTCCCTAGGAGAAAGTTAGACTATATGAAAACTGATTAACACTGGAGTGCCATTTAGCATGTTTAGTTCCTTGCTACAAGAGAATTTGACTCATTATGTCTCTATTAATTTTAATAATGAGAACATTTTGTCTTAATCAACTCAAACTATAATCAAGCTCCATCAAATAGAAATAAATATTTTTTTTCTACTTAGGGATTGCCTTTGTTAAAAAATAGCGTATATATGTATAAAAGAAAAATGAGATAGAAATGTGAAATTGGGCTTTTAATAGACATAAGAAGAATGTAATATTGCTATTTCATTCAATCTGGACAGCTTATATCAGATGCACTACACTAAAATGACAATAGATGAGGGGAAATTTTATTAAATTTTATTATCTTTTTTAAAATGAAATCATTAGCGCATTCATGAGAAAGATATATTTGAATTTTGGTGTTGGCAAAGAGAACATTGGAAGCATGAAATAATATCTCTCTAGATAATTTTTAAGAAAATTGCAATTTGAGAAACATTTCCTGTAAATGTAATTTCAGTAAATGTAATTTCAGAATACATCAGATATTGGCAACAGGTTAGAGCATACCTAGCATAATAAACTCTTTTCCCAGACACATGAACATGTCTGAAGGGGGAAAAAACAGATATTGTGTTTTGTTTTTGTTTTTTTTTTACAACACAAAAAAGTTTATTTTGAAGATTAAATTACAGAGTTTTATGCCAGGACTGCACCTGGCTTCCATTTTCACCAATACCAGAACCTGTAGTTGGGGCAAGGGTGAGAGAAGAGGGTAGAGAGGAGCAGCGGAGAGGATGGAGATATTGTGTTATTTTTGTCTGTTAAAAGTATGTAGCCTACAATTCCTTGAAAAAAATTACTACGTACCATATCCAAAAAAGAACAATAACTACAAAAAAGTGTAATCATTCCAGGCCAGTCCTGTCTCTCAATTGATTAATCATGTTGAAAATTGTTTAGTGGATTATTAGAAATATTTAAAAACTGAAATAGATTGAGTTAGATCACTAGGCAAAATATATTGAAAATAGTAACACACATTTTTTTTATACAAGGATAATCATTACTGTATGGAAATCATATTTTATTTACCTTCTCTGTGCATGTTTAAAGCCCATAGCTGTCAAGTTGATTCTGAGCTTTAGTGAAAATGTATTGACTATTGCTGTTGATTGCCTTCGAGTCGAGTATGACTCATAGCGACCCTATAAACAAAGGCTTGAAGCCCCTCTACAACTAGCGACATTTATCAAAGTTCATAGGATTTCTGGGGACATGTTATTTAGGAAGTGGATGCTACTCCTATATTTTGATTATAGAGACCGTAAATCTATATGGAAGGAGACTGTCCATCATCTTTTCACAGAGCAGTTAGTGGCTTTGAAACGATATGTTAGCTAGCAGTCTGACTTTATTTCACCCTAAGTGGGCAATAAGTAAAATGCACTGATTACTGTGGACTATGTTTGCAGCCACTGTAGTTCAGAGTCTAGAAATCAATAATTGTATAAATTACCAAGACAGATCATCTGCGAGGCTGGACTCTGTGAGGAGGAATGTGACATCAGAATAAAAGGAAGACTCATCAACAACCTGAGTTTTGGAGATAGATGACTTAACCTTGCTTGTGAAAACTGAGGAGGATCTGAAGCACTTGCTGCAGAAGGTCAGGGACTGCAACCTTCAGCATGGATTGAAACTCAACATCAAGAAAACAAAGATTCTCACCACTGGACCAATTGGCAGCGTCATACTGGATGGTGAAGAGATTGACGTTGTTAACACCTTTAGTTTTCTTGGCTTCACAATCAACACTCTTGGAACCAGCAGACAGGAAATTAAAAAAAAACCCAACAAATTGCAGTGAGAAAGTCTGCTGTTATGGACCTCTCTAGAGTACTAAAGAATAATGATGTCAGTCTGGAGACTGTTATGCACCTGATACAGGCCATAGTCTTTGCAAGTATCTGCTATACATCAGAAAGCTGGACAGTGACGAGGGATGATAGAAGGAGGATTGATGCTTTTGAACTGTGGTGCTATAGAAGAGTATAGAATATACCATGGACTGCTAAGAGAGCAAACAAGTTCATCATGGAGAGGGTGAAACCACACTACTCCTTGGAGACAAAGATTCTGTATCTCCTTCGAACATACTTTAGGCATGTTGCAAGGAGGGACCAGTCCTTGGAGAGGGACATCATGCTTAGGAAGGTGTTGGGACCATACAGGAGAGGAAGTCCTTCTGTGAGATGAATTGACTCAGTGACTGGGAAAATGGGATTGGCTGTCTTAGAGACAGTAAGATTGGCTCAGGATAGATCAGGGTTCAGAGCTGTCACTGTGAGTGACAGGCCATTTGAAAGCACATAACAACAAACAGCAATGACCACTAGAATTTAAGAGCTTTTATAGTATTTGGGGTTTTGGGGTTTTTTTTGTTTTTGGATTTTTTTGTTTGTTTTTAATTTCTAAGTAGCTGTTGTTTTTATTGTGTACTGTCTTGTCATAACTGACTCATAGTTGAACCACCATCAGGTGTCAGAGGTTGTAAATTGCATGGCTGGAAATGGCCTCTCTTTCTCCCATGTAGTTGTTGTACTTTACCCACTTACCTTTTTGTTGACAGCACAACTCAGTACCCATTAGACAATCAAGGCTCTCTTTTCTAAGTAGATTATATTCTAAATTCCATTGTTAATATGCACTAAATACTGTTGCTACAAGCATTAATGATGGCATAGAGTTTATAAAATGTATATAAATTATTTTAACAGTTTATAAAATACATATACATGGTAACACTAATTTTAAGTAATAATCATACCATAGTAGAATTATTTTCGCCTTTACTGTTTCTGAGCAACAGTTATCACACATTTTAAGTTCAAATTCTTAGTTAAATCTACCTCGTGTATTTACTTGGATTTTATATGAAAATACTATTCTTGCTTCTTGCTAGTCTCACATCAATGTTTCCATATTATTTCGTCATATAACCAAAATGACTTTAACTATTTTTCATAATTATATATTTGAGATAATTGAAAATGTCTGTTATTATGACTGTTGTTACAATAAGCATCTTATTTATCTTAAGCTTCTCCTATTGATTTACTTCATAGCATTGATTCATTCATCTCCCATTCAATAAACATTTTATAGAATACTTGTATTTTGTGCATTTCCTTATACTCTTCACTTGAGATAAAAATAAAAATTGATACATAAATGCCCATTGGTAAAAAAAAAGTAGTAGCTCATGGTTGTAAATTGTATATAAAAAAGTGGCATAATGATATATATATATATATTGGCATAATGCTATATATATATATAGTGATGTGAAGGGAAATTAAGAGAAGTCTTCTTAAGGGAACTTGTTAGTGAAGTAAAATAAATAATAACTGATCAGCATCATTCTGTGCAAAGCATAACTTTAATTTTAAATTCATGTATAAGTTTATATAATTTATAGGGAAAACATATGTGCATTTAATAATGCTTATTTTCTGAAATTTCTTCCACAATCTTATTTAAATATAATTAAATTATGTATTATACTGAACTATGACTAAGAGTGTGTTTCAGATACAAAAGATTTTTTGTTTACTGGTTGGTTTTTCATATTATACTTTATATTATAATTCTTTAGGGTTTGCCAGGCCCACCTGGTGAAAAAGGTGAAAATGGGGATGTTGGTCCTATGGTAAGTTTTCATTTCTAATGTTTGATGTTGCAGTGCGTGTTAGTTGTTACTCCTATCTTTCTTAAACATTTACTGTTATAAACAATACAGTTCTAATGAAGGATCATATGTAAATTGTTCTGCCAGGGAGAAATATTGATGATTTAAAAATATATTAATAAGATAATTTCTCCTTAAAATCAGAGTCAGGTACAATTTGATCAGAACTTGGTTCTATTACAACCAGAACACCTTTTCTCTTTCTTATTGTGGAATTATGTAAGTATGCAGAATACATCTAGTTTTCTATTGTTATTTTTCATTTCTGTGTGCAAATATTACTAAGTTATATAAAATCAAATATTGCTATGGTATATATAATGCAATATTGCTAATGTGCAATTAGCTATTTCGTAATTTTTAGCCACAGACTTGTTTTAGAGCAAAAAAACAATGCGTAATGTTCACTCAGGATGTTGTGACACATCATTAAAAACTAATGCTTGTATTTTGAAACACTCAATAAGGAACTTTCTTAATTAGAATTCTATGATATTTGTTTTTTTTTAATTTTATTTTTTTTAATTCTATGATATTTGTGATTTAAAAATATTTATTTGGTGATTTGACTTTCTACTCTAATGAAAATATTTGTACATATGAAAATTGAGAAATTTGTGTAAATATTTGTTTACTAAGCACTACTTTTAATAAGGAAATAAGGTAATTGAAAACTAATGAATTGTATAAAACATGTAAACTTTTATTATTTTATTTTTATAATTATCAATTTTTAAATCTTTCAGGCTATATATATATATGATTTCTAAAATATTTTACTGTTAAGCATTATTTTTTCAAGGACTAGTCCAAATCTATTCAATTCTTTTAAATCACTGTCATCTTCAAAGTAGTAATTAAATGAAAGATATAATAAAAAATAAACCTGGCTGATGGAATAATTAATTTCAGTTGAGAAACATCAATAGATACATACCAAACTCCTTTCTAGATTTGATAGCCATAATTCCTGGAATCACTGGTACATGCTTCCTTACATCGTAATATCTAGCAATAGGGAAGTTTTCTACACTGTGGAGCTGAACAGGACTGGATATACAATGGACTTCTAGGAGAACAAACAGCTTCAGCCTAGAGAAGGTGAAACAAGGCTGCTCCTTGGAGGCAAGGATTCTGAAACTCCATCTGACATACTTTGGGCATTTTGCAAGAAGTGACAAGTCCTTGGAGAAAGACGTCATGCTTGGGAGGGTGGAGGGAAAGCACAAGAGAGGAAGACCCTCAATGAGATGGATTGATACTGTGGGGTGATGAGACAGGTGTATCAGAGACAATAAAGTTGGCACAGGTTAGAGCTGGGGTCACACCTCTTTCTACTCATCCCAACCCCAATCTTACTACTCCGCTGTTCCAGAATCCATTGAAATAGCTCCCAGAACACAGAAAACCATATCAGGGAAATCAAAGATCTGTAATTCAGGTCAGTAAAAGAATATAATCACTCAGTCAAGACAGCTTCTTCAATGTGCTCTCAGGTGCCTCAGCCTTGAGCCTTGAAGCTTTAGGCCTGTGTTGCAAATTTCTCAGTCCTGTCAATAATGGCTCCCTTCTCCCCTCACTCCTCAGCTGTCTAATAAACTTGGACAAAGCCTCCTATATCTGGTTTCATGGGATAGCACTCCCAAGCCTGCTCCATCCCATGTTAGGTCTCAGGTTCTTCTCTGCGGCTGCTATGACGGCTGCTCCTCTAGGTCCTAGTCTGGCTGGTACAATAATCTCTGGTCCCAAAGGATGCACTGCATTCTCCTTATTCTTCTTTGCTGGTGGTGAGGTACTTCAATTCTCCTGACGGATCACTCAGTTTAATAACAAAACTTGCCAATCCACTTGTAGAAGGCTGACATGCTTTGTTTGTGTATTCCCTCTTATCCACATGGCAAAGTGAGTAAAAGGCTAAGGAAGCTGTTTTGAACAATAAGCCCTAGCCCTTAACGCAACACAGGTGATATAAAAAGAAAAGATATAGGTTATAAATGCAAAAAACTTTGAGTTTGGGGTTTTTTAAACCTATTCAAACACTGTTTCTTGCCCCAGTAGTCTAATATAAACTATTTGACATTATATTGCATGTTTTCCAGAGTGGTAGTAAACTTTTTTAGTTACTCTTCCTCAAAGGCCCCCACTTTCCCGTATCTAAATGATCATTGTTAAGTTTGTTATAAATATCAAGAATGACTCACAATGTTGATATAGTCTACTAAGTATTATTTTGAAGATTTATATTTCTTTTAGTCTTCCTCACCACAGAATGAAAATGTAAATGTATCAGAATTTAGTCTTCATAGACTTCAATGTTTTTTTTTACAGGGTCCACCTGGCCCTCCAGGACCAAGAGGCCCTCAAGGTCCCAATGGAGCTGATGTAAGAACTGTGTAACTTATTTCAGTAATTTGAAAGTTATTTAGTCATCAGTGTAGATTAATAGGAAGGATATTTTATGATATAATAATCTATTTCAGGTATTTTAATAGTTTTTCTTATTTCTAAGTCTAGCACATAGACATAATAGTTGACTCAGTTTTATACTGGAAAAGAAATGAGCTTTATATGAAATAAGTTAATTCATTAAAGGGGAATAGAAGTTGCATTATACTTATCCACATTTTTCAGCTCAGCATGAATAAATTATACTTTGTAGTTATTGTTTAACAAATGATTATTGAATTATATTGAATTTTACTTATATCCTGACAATGACATGAGTAATCAAATAAGTTTGTAATTGATTCTGGCTGTTTTAGCCTAGGTCTGTCAACAATTCTGGTTGTCCTTTATTAAGTTATCCATCATCAGTGACTTTCACTGCTTAGCATTACTTATATTTTAAATCTGTAATATGTCAGACCAGTGTATGCATGATAAGTGTACCTCTTTCAGTGCTAGATATTTTATATCAATTGTTTAAATTCTATATTCAGTCTACATAAATTGTCTACATTCAGTCTCAAAATTTCAGAATGCACCCCCTTATTAATTTAACTTATAGCCCTTAATAGATATATACATTTTGATGGCGTCCTCTTTTGACTTCACTTTTTCATCCTGTAGAGGCCAAAACTCCCTCATTCTTTTGGCTGATTTTTCATGCTTTCTGATTTTAGTGAGCTTGAATTGATTAATTGAACTACAGATGATGAACTACAAGGAAATTCTAGGTTTCAATTGTCAATAAATAATTGAAAGGCAAAATAAGGCTAATCATCGTTTTTTAAAAGATTATCTAACAATGTATGAATGGACACCCAAAGTCTCTGTAAGCATTCATTAAAATTTCAATTAAAAAAGATTATCTAATCTAGTTATTTCTTTTTCTTCAAAATCTACAAAATCAGCCTCTGATGTTCTCCTGATAGCTCTCTGGGCATAAAAATTGAACTTGTATCTTGGACATCAACTTGCAAGTCCAGAATTAGAAAGCCTTCTGTTTTATTTCTTTTAAATTCTGAAACCAGTGTAATAGATAACTAATTTTCATACAGTAAATTTATCCTTTCATTTTAAAAGCATCATGTTGTTCCATCTTTCAAATTATTTAGAATATCCTTGCATGTGTTTATCATGGAGAAAAAAGTGTCCTTTTTATTTTTTAAACAGTAATAACTGTTACTACTCTTTCTATACCAAAGGGACCACAAGGACCCCCAGGATCCATTGGTTCAGTTGGCGGTGTTGGTGAAAAGGTGAGGAACTTAGTAAAAGATTGTTTAAGAATATTTCTTTTTTGTTGTTGTTTTGTGGTTGTTGTTTTTTTTGTTTGTTTGTTTCGGTTTTTTGGTTTTGGTTTGTTTTTGTTTATTTTTTTTGTGTGTCTGTATGTGTACCAGCAAATCTAATATGACGGATACAGGAGGAGATTGTCCCTCCTTCTCCGGCAGAGCTTCTGGTGGATTCAAACCGCACACCTCTGGGATTACAATGCAGCTTCTTGCCACTAGGTCACTAGAGCTTTCCTTGTTTAATAATATTTCTTAATATTTAAAGCAGTTACTACTGTTCTTTTAAACTTTGTGCACTTTTATTTACAAAGTTAATGTGAGTTATATGCTCACCTACTCTAATATTTAAATACATAAAAGTTAAAATACTAAAAAAAATTTAAAATAAGTTAAAATACTACTGAAGACCATGATTCTGATTTCTATGTCAGTAACATGCTTAATTATTAGATTATGATGTTGTTGTTGTTGTTGTTGTTGTTATGTGCTATTGAGTCCCCTGCAACTCACAGCAACCAAATATCTCTGAAGCCTACCCTATCCTGAGCCAGTTTTACTGACTTCGATACAACTACTCCCATTACCCCAGTTACTTGGTCAATCTATGTCATCCAGAGTCTTTCTGTCCTGCATTGTCTGTCCACCGTTCCAAGCATGATGTACTTTTCCAAAGACTAGTGCCTCCTAGCCATGTGCTGAAAGTTTATGATACAGAGCCTCAAAGTAAAATATAAATTATTTTCTTTAATCATCATGGTTACTCACTATGAAGACATTTTGTCATCCATATTTTTTAGTTTGAGACATTCTATATCATAATTTCAACAATCGGATCATTAAGCATGTAAAAAGCATGTGAAAAGTTACTCTAATTCATGTATATCCTATGAAATATGACATCTCTGTTAATACTCATCCCATAAATTAGAAGAGATTACTTCATATAACTGATAAAAGAGAAAAACTCTCAAATCACAAAATAATTAACCCGTATTTTGTTGTGTTTATAGTTATATTTTCAGTACTATGAAATGTTTGTGTCACATTTCAGAATATTGGGCTTGTGATACAACATGTGGGCTCAAACTTGCATACTTTTGCCGTGAGTCTGATTTCACTTAAAATATCACCTATTCCTTTATGAAAATGTCAAAATGATTATTCTGTATTTATGTACTCATGCTCACTACTTAATAGACTTTTCATAGGAATCACCATTTAAATTTGATCCCATTAAAGTAATTTCTCATTCTAAAGGAAGTATTAAATCTCACACTATAAAACTAATACAGTGAAAAATAGTTTAAGAAACTCTGAATTTTCCTGTTATCAAGTTATCTGAGGGTTGTTTAAAGTTGGAATTGAGTCAGTTTCTACTCATGGTGACTCCATTTGAGCAGCAGAGTTTATGGACTTCATAGAGTTTTCAAGACTGAATGCAGATAGCATGGTCTGTGTTCCGAAGAATGCCTGGATGTGTGTAAAAAGTTCAAGGGCTGCATAGAGATAGCCATATCTGACTTTTATCAACTTCACAAAAGGAAAAATCCCTGGTAACAACATCAACACATAAACCAAATATCTGAAGTCAGATATGTCCCCTGTGCTTCTGTACCTCCCGCTACTCATCTTAACACCAATTTTACTACTCTACTGGTTTCAGAATCCAATGTTATAGCTCAGAGACCACAGAGAATCATATTGGGAAGCCAAAGGTTATGATCCAGGTCAGCAGCAGAATACAATCAAGAAAGCTTATGAAATGCTTGCACCGGTACTTCAGCCTTCAGTCTCACAGCTTTAGGCCAGTGTTACAAAGTTCTCAGTCCTGAAAATTTAGGTCACCCACTTCTAGTTGTCCAGCAAATTTGAGCAAAGGCTTTTTAGCTTTGGTTCCAATGGTGTAGTAGTCCTAAGTTCTATCCCATATCAGGTCTCTGGTTCTCCGTCTCAGGTCTCTGGTTCACTGTCTCATGTCAGATCTCTGTTTCTCCACTGTGGCTCCTATTGGTTGCAGCTCCTATAGTCCTCATAGTCTGTCTAGATCCCTGAAAGGCAAGTTGCGTTCTCTTGTTTACTGTTTTTTCTTAGTGAAATTCCTCCTTCTGCTGAAGGATCTGCTCAATTTAATGCAGGGACTACCCAATTCCTTTGTGGATTGGTGAGAGTAGCCAATCTTCTTGTGTACTGATAAAGCTACTAAGTTCCCTGTCGATTGTTGAGATTGGTCAATCCACTTATAAATAGGCCAGCACTATCTGCAAATTCCCACCAATCTATATGGCAAAGTCAAATTAATAGCTAGGAAAGCCATTCTGAACACTAAATTTATCTACTACAGTGTGATATTACTGCTAATCTTTTGATTTTGTAGTCATAAAAGAATATAGTTTTTTCATAAGTATTTTTAAGTATATTAGTTCTTACCCTTAAATTTGTATAATTAAAGGATTTTATCTTCACAAAATAACATCCTAGTATTTGCTATTTTGATGCTACTTTATTCAGAATCTCATTCCAATATTTTGATTCTAATGTATCACATGTGATTTACTTTTCCAAATATTTGTTTATTTCCCAATCAGAAAAGACTAAAAGTTAATTGTTACCTGGTTCTTACCTCAGAATCTGGCTTATACCCCAAATTTTTCAAACATCCAACATGTTTGAAGTGTTGAAATAACCTAAGCGGGTTGGAGTGAAATTAATGTGTTTTTGTTGTTGTTGAATTTAGTTGATATAAATGATTAGAATGAAAGAGCTTGAGCCCTAGTTGTATCATTTTATTAGGTAGATGATAGCAATCTTACAAATTTGTTCCCTCCCTTTGCATCATTTCCAATTAGATCAAATGTTGATGTGTGGGTCCTGAGAATATTTATCTCATTTCAGTTTTGTCCACATATGGAATTCTAAAATCATTTAATAGTTGTGTAATTTCACTGTATTTGTTTCCTAAAGCTTCTGGGTACACAGGGAACAGTTTTCAATATTTAAGCCACTTCATTTAAGCTTTTGTTTTCTATGTTGCTCTTGGAGTAAACACAGATGCCAGATGTTTTAGTTTTGGAAAAAATTCCCTTTCCACAGTTTCCATTTAGTTTAAAGCATATTTAGTCACACTTTGCCAGGTTTATGTTTCTTTGAATGACTCACTCTAGCAGGGTTGATGACTTGTGACTGTCTTATGCTTAAAATGCACAGATTTTGAATTTATTACACTTTAAAAAGTGAAGCTTTTAGTTTGCTTTGTTTTGTTTTGACATTACTATATGACAGAGCTAGAGAGAAATAAATTTTTTACTTTCATTTTTTATTTAGAAGACAGGATACAGTTACAATTTGCTGAAATGTTCACATTCCCATTCCTTTTTAATTACTTTTTATACTCCCCTTCTTTAGTAACTGATGCAAACAAAGGGAGCTCTCCTGCAGCCCACAGCCAAATGCTCTGCTAAGTCAGAAGTAGTACCTCTGAGGTGGTTCAAATCCATCATTGGCTCCGCAGAGGAAAGATAGGGAATTTCTTACTGTACAATTTACAGCTTCTGAAAACTTGTTAGAGTGTTAGCTAAGAATTAGTTCTGACACTTCAGCAACGAGTTGATTTCAAGCAAACACAGACAAACAAGGGGGGGAACCCCACCCAGTATTCCCCATATACGTTGCACTTGGCTTAAATATGTTTAACTTATTTTCCATATATGTTTCCTACTGACTACATGTACATGTTGGGTGTACAGAATGGCTTCCTGTGTCTTCTGAAGGGAGTATTAGCCTAAACAAATGTGTGACACAATAGATTAGAATGGTTAAATGTAATGATAGCTTTGTACTCTAGAACCATCTTTAGATGCCAGTGCTCTACAACATATTATAATATAATAACAGAGCAGGGTAACACTGCATGGTTCAAAATTGGGAAGGGTGTACGCCAGGGATGCATCCTGTCTCTATACCTTTTCAACATGTATGCAGAGCAGATTATCCGAGAAGCTGGGCTCTATGAGGAGAATTGTGGCATCCTGATTGGTGGAAGATCTATTAACAATCTGCGTTATGCAGATGACACAACCCTGCTTGCTGAAACTGAGGAGGACCTCATGCAATTACTGCGAAGGGTCAAGGACTGCAGCCTTCAGTATGGACTGAGGCTCAATGTCAAGAAGACAAAGGTTCTCACCACTGGACCAATTGGCAGTGTCAGGATGGATGGCGAAGAGATTGAGATTGTTCACAGCTTCAGTTTGCTCGGCTCCACAGTCAACACTCTTGGCACCAGCAGTCAGGAAATCAAAAAGCGTATCGCGATGGGAAAGTCTGCTGTTAGGGACCTCTCTAAAGTACTCAGGAACAACGGTGTCTCTCTGGAGACTAAGGTGCGACTGATACAGTCCATGGTATTTGCAATCGCTTGTTATGCATCAGAGAGTTGGACAATGACTAGGGAGGACAGAAGGAGAGTGGATGCTTTTGAGCTGTGGTGCTGGAGAAGAGAACTGAATGTACCATGGACTGCCAGGAAAACAAACAGATTCATCTTGGAGAGGATTAAACCAAGCTACTCCTTGGAGGCAAGGATTCTGGGACTTTGTCTGACATACTTTGGACACGTTGCAAGGAGGGACGGGTCCTTGGAGAGGGACATCATGCTTGGGAGGGTGGAGGGACAGTGCAGGAGGGGAAGACCCTCTATGAGGTGGATTGATTCAGTGACTGGGGTAATCGGGATGGGTGTGTCAGAGGCAGTGCGGTTGGCGCAGGATAGAGCTGGGTTTAGGGCTGTTGTGCATAGGGTCGCTATGAGTCGAAAACGACTCTACGGCACATAACAACAACAACAACACAATTATCTCATGGTAATTACTGTTCAATAAAAATTATTGTGTACTTTTGTTGATATAAGAAATGTAATTTAGATAATATACCAATGTGGTTTTTATAGTAATTTTTAATTCAAAATT